GTGCCGTGCCGTCAAAGCCGTTCTCTGCCTTCTTGTTGAAGCGCGCATGCGACAAAAAGTGGTAGAAAACGAGTAATACGAACGATATGATACAGTCTTATCACTTGCTCGCTTTAACAACTGTGGAGAACAGGTTTGGCACCGCGCCAAATTCATTCCGCGTGTGTTGGTGTTGTCACGCTGCAGCAATGACCTCGTGCTTTCCTAAGCTGTAGCTTCAGGCTAGTCACTGCCTGGCATCCTTTCATGAAATCCATAGCGTGTGCCACGGCGGCAGTAGAGAGGTGGTTCCAAGAAATGACATAGGGAATGGGAAGGAAGCGTTATTGATGGTTTACAGTAAGTGAGAACAACTGAAAAATTTGATCAAGGGCGTCAAAAGTGGAAGGTCACCAAGTTCAGAGCGCGGGTGGCACCAGCAGTGGAAAGTTGGTTCCAACAGGTGGTAAATGTGTGATAGGGACATTAAAGGTGGGCCAAAGGGTGATACTAATTGGCTATTATGGAGTGTTAGAGCCCAAGCATCGTCTTATTCATAGCGTCTGTCAAATTAGCGAACTGCACGCTCCTTCCCTGCTTGAGGCAGATTCGATCTGCTCATGCGTGGGAGGGCGAGGAGGCAGAACTAACAACGGCCATATCCGACCACTAAACAATCCTTTTTGAATGAGTGAAAGTTGCTCACAGAGATGTGATGAGTATTAGTTAGTGGCTTTAATAGATTAAAAGTGTTTTTGGTTTAAAACTGCTGTTTAACGCCACAGCGCGATGCGGAAGTTTTCACAAGAGTGCTGAGTTATGGGCAAACGTTGGGCCATAGACGGGACTTTTTCAGGATTCTTCCGCGAAGCGCCCACCGCATGTGTATTACACACAGCAGACTCCTTTACATGCTCCGCCCACAGATGACCACGCCCCTTTTCCCGCAACAGTTCACAGACTAACTACACACGTGATACACCATATACTGCATCTATATTAGTTTTTCACACTTTTCATCTATTACACACATAGACCCTTGAATACACTTTTATTTAATGGAGAACTTGACTCCGCCCCCGACGACTTCGCCCACTCATTAGTGGGTTTATTGAACAATTCGCCACTTTATAACTTTATTCCCTGACATCCTTTTTCAGTGATCTTTTCAAAGTTATAATGTACAAATAAGAGACAATCTTTTCGGTACCCACAATATGCCCCTTCCCCTCGGCCACGCCCCTTTTTAAACATTTAGATGATTTTTGACCAATTTTATCGTTTAAGTGTTGACAATTTCCTCGAAAAACATTCTTATCGCACTATAATTTATCAATTGTAGATCTGATACACTTTTGCCCATAACTCAGCACTCTTGTGTAAACTGAGAAATGAGTTGTCTCTCAGTAACAACATTGGTAGCTATCATTTGGAGCGTCTTACTGCTGCATGCAGGAGTTCATGCTGCAGTAGGGCGCTTCAGCGTTGAAGAATCTGGCAACAGCAGGGAAATAGCTAATTGATCGGGATCTTCAATTTTTGGGGTGATGCTGCGGATCCTTTTGAAGTGTTAATGAAAACTACCTACTATGGTGGCCAGGCGGCTGGGCGCTTAGCGAACTCTTGCATACATTGCCTTTGGAAAGCTCAACCTACGAGCACACTCATTTTGAAACGAGGAGTAAATAACGAGAGTCAGGAAATGAAAATGTCACTTAAGGTGCTGCAGAAATATAAGAGCCAACAAAATGACTTTGCCCTTTTTCAGTTCTTCACAACTTGCAAGTACGATTCATAGAGCGGCAACTTATCTACACTTATTGCGGTATTGTTCTTGTTGCTATCAACCCCTACGCGGACTGTCCGTACTTGTATGGGGAAGAAGTTATTCAGGTAGTTCGGACATCTTCTTCGTTGCCATACGTGGCCAGTTATTTTTTAGTAGCTTTTTTCATTTATTACCATCTAGCACCATTAAGCTGCATATGACTTGGTGACTTTCCTCAGTTTTTTCTCTTATGTACGCACAGTTATTCTGTTCTAGGTATACAGAGGTGTTGGAAAGCAAGTGAGAGAACTAGATCCTCATATATACGCTGTAGCAGAGGAAGTGAGTTCTTTTCCATACACAATGCATATCATTACTTTTGAATCGCATCAGCAGTCTGCAGCAGTGCTATAAATGCTATTCAGGCTTTCTTTGACCTGGCGGAATTCAAGAAATGCCAGTCCATCATCGTAAGCGGCGAATCGGGAGCGGGAAAAACTGTGTCGGCAAAGTTTGTCATGAAGTATGCGATGGGATATGCTATGCTTTTTTACATCACCTTTTTTTGAAATTGCACGTTTGCTGAACATTGGTGAAACCGTGTTCATACTTTGCGAATGCAGAGAATTCGTGATTTAGGAGATTCCGTGATCGCCGAGGTAAAAGGGGAAATCGCTCTGGGTGAGTGGGGACAATGAATCCCACCTTTTTTTCTCCCCTACTTCCGGGATCTTCGCTACGGATTCTCCTTCTCGTTCGCGAAGAATGAACACAGCTTTGCTAAGCAGCTGACAAAAGAGCGTTTCTGATTACTTATATCCTGCCAGATATTTCGCGTCTGTCGCTGGGCATCGAGATGGTTCGGCTGGCGTTGAAGACAGGGTCTTAGCTACCAACCCCATCATGGAGGCCATTGGTAATGCTAAAACAATACGGTAAGTATTGTTAATCACCGTCAAAGCCGTTGGAGGCCCTTCGTATCATTCACCGTAGAAGTCACGGTGCTTTTTTACCAAAAATTGGGCTATGGGCGCTACTGCAGAGGGAGGGGGGGGGGCATTTCTGTAAATTCACGTGCATGATTCGAACAATATGATACGCTGCGAAGTGACATAAGTAAATTTGTCTTTTGTAAGGTCCCTAGAAATAACCAAAATAACCTAGGAACTTGATCTTGTTGTAGTAGTTAATTGCGAAGGGTACGATAATTCGGTTCCCTGCAGGTAACGGAAGTGATGGAGCAAATTAGTAAAGTGAAGCGAAAACGGGCAAAATGACTGGGGAGAGGGGGGGGGGAAGGGGGCGGCTTTATTGACCATTATGAAGTGGATGAGCATACTCCAGAGAGAGATCATCGCAGGTCAGTTATTATTACGAAAAAATCGTGGTGATGTGACGTAAACGTTAAAAAACGATGTTTCAGTGTCATTATTGCTCAGTTATTATTGTCAAATTTTACCGGAACCATTCAGAAATGACAACTCTTCTCGGTTCGGAAAATTCATCCAAATTAACTTTGACGAAAAATTCACGATATCTGGAGCGGAAATAAAGACCTACTTACTTGAGAAAAGCCGAGTTGTTTTCCAGGTAGGATCTTGGTAGCTTCAATTTCCCAAACTACACGTTAATGGAATTTGTTCAGGCGCAACAAGAGCGAAATTACCACATTTTCTATCAACTTTGTGCGGCACGCGACCATCCCCTGCTAAAGGATTTTGCTCTCGGTACTTGTATTTAACAATCTTTTCATTTTTGGGGCCTGCAGCAGAGTCGAGTTGAGTCCTTTTCTTTCCGGGAGAAGTCACATAGCATAACATATTTAGCATGGTTCTAAATTGCGCAGAAGTGTGAATGAGGTTTACCGTTATGTAATTGGCTGCCACCTCCTGGGTCATATACTGAAATTTTTGCATTTTACGGCCACCTACCCCCTCCCCCTTCACCTCCATCTTCTCCATCCTGTCTACCATATTCCCATACCATATCAATTTTCCCCAGCTCCCTACTACCATTTATCCGGCTCTTCGACAGTTCCGTTTTCTGACACTGTAGAGTTTTTCTGAGTTTTTTTAGACAAGAATTCCTCCACTTTTCCCTAAAAAAACAGCCGTTGAGCGGAGTGCCGTTAGTGAAGGGTGGAGACGGGGGGGGGGGGGGAGATACTGCATAGTTTATACACGAAAAACCAAGAAAATGCAACAACTGAAAATCTCTATCAACGGTAAATACAATTTTCTGGCTGGGGATCCCCAAAATACCCTGCTCACCTCTTTCTAGTCTGTGAAAATTGTATATTTCAAGCTCTTAAGAAGCTTTCGTGATTTTTATGGATTGTGGCCGATGGTATTTATAAACTCTGTAAAATGTTCTTGCATTGATCGGTATTGAAGTTGGTTACTACTTTGTTGTCTCGCAGGTCCTAGCGAACTTTACTGGTACACTGCGCAAGGAGGAGATAGTAAAATCCCTGGTGTTAACGATAAAGACGACTTTGAGGAAACAGTTAAGGTAATATAGACATTTTCAAATAATCAAAAACAATTTATCGTTCCCGTGAATTACGTGCTTAGGCTCTTGGCTTGCTCGGATTCGACAGAGAAAAGCAGAAGTCCGTGTTTCGGATACTCAAAGGCATTCTGCTTCTTGGGAATATAGATTTCAAGGGCGATGGGGAAAATTCTTCAATCTCGGTGAGCCGTGCGTGTGTCATTCGCTTATTTGTGCTCGTGATTCCCCTTGTTTATATACTGGAATATTTTTTGAATTGTAGCCCATGTGTGCTGCTGAACTGTCGCAGCTGTGCACCGACTACAAAATCGATGAAGCACAGTTGCGACTTTGGCTTACTGTTCGAGAGATTCGAGCTGCTGGGGAAACCGTCAGAAAAGGTCTTCAACCACGTGAGGTGAGTGGGTCACGAAGTGATTTGGTGGAATGGTCGGCTTTCTATAAAGTAGTTTTCAGGCTGTTCGATCCCGTGATGCACTTGCAAAGTTAATCTATGCACAGTTGTTTTCATGGTTTGTCTGCCACTTCAACAACGCTTTGATGGAAAAGGAAAGAAAGTTTTCTCGCCACAAGAGCTTTATAGGAGTGCTTGATATTTACGGGTAGGTTTATTGGTTTGTTTTCTGGATGAGTCCAAACTTTATCGAGCTAGTGACCATTGGTTTGTCGTGGGATATAGCTGCATCTGGCAGTCGGCGCAGCTGAAACTGGCTGCCAGACAGCCGCAGCTAGCGCCAGCGCAACTGATGGCTTGATGATTTTAGCGAGTTGGGTGCATATGTGATACATGTCCACAGAAATCTACAGGAGTTCTTCGCTGGCTCTAAAGTGCCCGCCTCTGGCTGTAGATTCACCGATGTTAGACATAGGCTTCGATGTGAACACTGTCAGCTATCTTTAGAATAGCAACCATAATAGAAGAGCGGACTAGTGACACCCTCTACCAATAAAGCATATTTGAGCTGAAAAAAATGGCCCGCCACACCAGTTGCGGACCGACTCATCTCGCACAATACTGTGACTAGGATCCATGGAATGAGCGCAAAGTTTGTCCGTCGTCTGTATCTTTTTCTACTAACGAGCATGACTTCAGTGACTGACCCGCTCTTGGAACAGACGCATTTCGGCGGTGAGGGGGCGCTTTGCGATTTTGCTGCTTCCACTAGTTCCGGTTTACAAGTCTCACTCTGGTGAAACCTGTGAACACTTGTGAAGCTGGAGCAAGCTCGTCGAAACACCACGGTGAAACCTGTCAACTCTTGTAAGCTCGTGAAATGGCTCTCTAGAAGCCTCGACACGTTGACGGGAAGTAGCAAAAGTGTACACTGCACCCACTCCCCCCTCTCCCCCCCCCCGTTTGCCAAACTGCCCCTTAAAAGATTTTGCGGTTCCCAGACACTGTAAGTGACAAATATGCATGTCCATAGATGAACTTTCAGGTTTGAGACGTTTGATGTGAATAGTTTTGAACAGTTCTGCATCAACTATGCCAATGAGAAGCTTCAGCAGCAGTTCAACCAGGTAAGTCTTTCTTGTGGTTGCGTGTTTAATGGCAATTTCTGAGAGCTATAAGGGATTCGAATCAATCCCGCGGTTTATTTATGTTTATTCATTGGAACAAGATCTTTGGATTCCAGCACGTTTTCAAATTGGAGCAGGAAGAATATGAGCGAGAAGAACTATCTTGGGTTCGCATTGACTTTCACGACAACCAGCTGGCTATTGACCTAATAGAAGGTAGACCTGGGCTAATAGAGTATCTGGATGAGCAGTGCAAGGTATATGAAAAACTCATGCATTTTTTTATTATAATAAAGTTTTGGTTGAACATTAGTTTCCCTAACAACGTTAAGGTGGTTAATGGCTCGGATCTCGAATGGTTGAATCAAATAACAACCTCCACTTCGCTCAAAAAATGCTCATCTTCAAATCCCGCGCGTTAAATGCACTAAATTTATTGTGAAGCATTTTGCTGCTGATGTGAGTTTTTCAGAAGGACCCTCTCTTTCACAGTGAACATTCATGGACTTTAGGTCTCATACACTGTGGAAGGATTTATGGAGAAAAATAAGGACGCTGTCAGTAAGCAGCTGTTAGAGCTGGTTTCCTGTCTCGGCGGCTAAGTACCTGATAGACTGCTTTTTCTGTTCCATACATGCACCTCATATACTATTCGCTTTGTCTGTGTTGTTTGTTGTGTGTTGTAAGTTTGTAAGTTTGTCTGTCCGGAAATTCGGTTCGACCTGAAGAACGACTTGGAGAGGTCCAGTCAAGGTGGGGATAGGTAGGGCATGGGACAAGAAATAAAAAGCACACTTGACCTATGGCAAGCCCCGCCCACAGTGGGCGGGGCACTCGCCGAAAGTTTGGGGTTCCGCAGAAAAATGTTCATAATTCGCTTCCGGAGCAGCTTAAAGATGGGGAAAAAAGGGACTAAGGTTAGTAAGGAGTCGCCAGACTAACTGTGGCAGGTAGCAGCGTTACACCCTAAGTGGGCGGGGCGTACTCAAGGTGGGCGGTGCTTCTCGCAAAATTCAGTAACCCGGTTCGCGAGAGTGTTTGGAAGTCGCAAAAACTCAGTGTAGAATGTAAATATCCGGCGAATATAGGCACGCTCAAAGTGTGTTGAGACCCGCCCACAGTGGGCGGAGCTTGCCCCTAAATCGCAGTGTAGTTCTATTACTAATTATATTGTATTGCATGCACCATGGCAGCATGACAACTATGAGCAACTGCAAACACAAAAAAAACTAACTGACAAAATGAACCTTGCAATCTTCAGAACTCGATGTAATAATTAAAAGAAATTCGATGAAAAGGTAAATCAACGTAAGGTAACGTAACTCGGAAACCTGACCATTCCCTCAAGTGTCAACGCAGTTTAGAAATCGGAATAGTCCGTAGTAGTCCTCAAGTCAAATGTTGATGCAGAATCTTTTTTAGCTGAGCTAAGTTCCAATGGCATATCTGTGTTTCTTCGAGAACTTAACGAATTCGGATGAAGCCCTCAGAAGCGAAAAAACTTGGCTCTAACATTAGACTTAGCTCTAGGATAAGAGAGTTTAATTTTGTCACCACGAGTGTTGGACGGACAGAGGGTGAGAGTATCACGCAAATTTACCACAGACTTCCCTGTAAGTATCTTGAACATGGTTATGAAGTCCTGTTTCCTCCTTCTACAGTATAAAGAATCAAGCGCAAGCATTTTATTTCTTACGACACCTCTTGGTATAGAACTGTAAATGAAACCCAGAGCCCGAGTCAAAACCTTTCTTGTGAAACTATTTTGCACAGATTCCAGTCTGGAGACGGCCTTCTTCATATAGGGGAAGAATACAACAGAACCATACTCTAGTAGCGGACGAATATAAGTCTTGTAAGCTCTTATAAGAACGTGTGGATCCTTAGTAAGCAAGCTCCTCAATAACTGGAACAGTCTCTTCTCCGCTCTATTAGCTATCGATACACAGTGGGAATGGAACGCCAATTTTCATTTTACGCTCGGTCCCAGAACACTCCAGATACCGGAGAAAAGTGGATTAATCAGGCCGAGGGCGTCGGTTAAGATGTGGGCAAAGAAAATTGTGGGTGGGCCTGCTCGCGAGGTGGGCGCAGCCAGACAGAAACAGGTCTGTAAGACGTTTTCCACGAGCACTCCGCAAGACCGGAAATACAAGTGGATTAAAAGTCAGAGAGGGTCGCCGGTGAGGATTGTGGGCATGCAAACAATTGTGGGCGGAGCCTGCTCCGAGGTGGGCGGAGCCGGACAAAAAGGTCTGTAAAACGGTTCCAGAGCACTCCGAAGACCGGAATAAAGTGAATTCAGGTCAGCAGGAATCGCCGATTGAAAAATGTGGGGTGGACATATTGTGGGCGGGGCCAGCCCGAGGTGGGCGGAGCCAGACGAAAATTCTCTAAAACCGGTCCAGCACTCCGAAGACCAGAAAAAGTGGACTAAGGTCAGCGGTGGGTCGCCGGTGAGGATTGTGGGGCACAAACATTGTGGGCGGGGCCTGCTCCGAGGTGGGCGAGTCAGACGAAGAATCTGTAAAATAGCTCAAGAGTACTTCAGACACCGGAAAAAAGTGGAGTACAGAACAAAAGGCGGATATCAGTTGAGTCTAGAAATATGTGAAAGAAAACGCGCGGAAGCCGCGCTCGCCCGGCGCAGCCGGGCCGTATCAGGAGGCGCGCCGGCGTTAGCCGGCGAGCCGACTGGTTTATATATATACAGCTTTGCTACATTGATTCATCATGAATTGTGTCGTTCGATTTCCAGTTCCCCCTGCTTCGAGAAATCCTCGGATCTGCTGTGGTGTTCGACGACAGTGTACCCACCAAGCAGACCGTCAAAAAGACTGTCGCTGGCCAGGTTCGACACTTTTTTTGTGTGGTTAATGACCCAGAAATGCCGATTACTTTTTGTGAGCCGAATTCAATTAAGTAAATTGTTTTAGTTCCGAGATTCCCTTCGTGACTTGATGGCAGTGCTTTGCACAACCCGCCCTCATTATGTGCGCTGCATTAAGCCGAACGACATAAAAGAGAGGTAGCTAATAATTTCAGGTTTTTGTAGCATAGTATGATAGTCAACATGTGGAACATTTTTGTTATGTTAGGTTGGGGATTAGGTTCCTGCTCCTTTTTTCTTGCCATTGGAATTTGTAACGATTTTATTTTGTTCACTCCATGATTTCTGAGCTAGATTTGCCGAGTGTCTTCGGCCTTTCCCAAAGAACCAGAAACCCGCAGTCCCATGAAGTTCGTTCCGGTGGGGATGTCACCCAGGTTGAAACTGCCATTCTTCGACTTGGCAAGCCATTCTTTGACAGCGCCCCTTTCCGTACCCAGTGCAGTTTTCCTGAGCAAATTTGATAGCATTTATCGCCATTTTGATCTCGACTGTTGGAGATGTTTTTTTTTTCACCACCCGGATTTTTGTTTTTTGAAAACTTGTTTGCTAACATGTTTTGTAGAGCAGACAATACCCTTTAAATGGTACATGGACTTATGGCGTTACCATCTCTGAAAAAAAGAAGAGATTATTATAACGGCAGAGAGTTATTCCCTAATATAATATTTTCAAATTATCAGGTTTTACTTCGAGCCGAAACGGGCTATTCAGCAGTTGCGAGCTTGTGGAGTTTTAGAGACTGTGCGTATTTCCGCCGCGGGTTTTCCCACCAGGTACAGTTTAGGAGCATCGATTTGGTTCTCTTTTTCGTCAATTGATCCGTATCCGTTAACGTTATGCTTGTATTGATCAGGTTGACCATTATGAGCTTTCATTCGTTAATTTCTAACTGTATTTTATTTTTTGGTCACTTGATTGTAGATGGACATACGAAGAATTTGCACGTCGCTATCGCGTCCTCTATCCCGAGGGAAAAGCGATATGGCGAGATAAGCCGAGGATGTTCGCTGAGAAAGCATGTCACAAATGTCTTGAGGTTGATTTCCTCACCACTTGCCCTTCTACTGTGCTCTTCTCATATTTCTCCTACATTTCCTTTTTTCCCTTTAGGAAGGAAAATTTGCCCTCGGGAAGACTAAGATCTTTTTCCGTACCGGTCAAGTGGCACTGCTGGAGCGTATTCGAGTGGAAACCCTCAGCGTATCGGCAACTATCATTCAGTCGTGGTGGCGTCGATTTGTTGCCAGACGAAAGTATCTTGTTTTACGGAAAAGCTTGCTCACGATCCAGGTATGTGGTTGTTTGGCTGTGCATTGGCAAATAATCTTGGACGACCTCCTTTCCCGCACAAGCATCGCTCTTTCCTATGCCAGTTGCTTTCCTTTTGGATTTAGTAATTTTCATCGCGCAATGAATTTGCTGTTTCTATTTCTTTGGAACGTGGAATCGATTCGAAGTAATCAAATATTTGGCCTTGAACAAGTTTTTTTATTTGTGGGATTAATATGAAAACTCGATTGATGAGGGCAGCTGCGCTCATCTCTGGGGAGAACGCCTCAAATTCATGTTCCTTGGCCTCGTTTTTGAATGGTTTCGAAAGCTTCCGGCAGTGCCGATGCTGTTTACTTTTAAGTTCAATAAGTGTTTCAGCGATCCTCTTGCAGGCTGCCACAAGAGCGTTTCTTGCTGTCAGACGTCTGTTTTACCTGCAAATGTATCGAGCCGCTATTGTTATTCAAACTTCCTACCGGTATGCTTTCAGCTGGCTCTACTTCAGAAGCTAGACTCATTTTTACTCTTCGCCTTTCGTTTTTCGTTGATTTAGCGAAGAATGTGAAACCTAATGTTTACCAGGAGAGTTTGCTGGTGGTGAGCTGAGCAAGGCCTCGTTTAGTTAGGGAATAGGTTCCTGCTCAAGAACACCGGATTCCGAGATTCCTCGCTCCGAATTATTTTTTGTTTAGTGTGTTCCAGCAAACTCGTGTTTTTTATTGGTTGAAATATATCTTCAGGCGACACGTCTGCGAGAGCCGTTACCGTAAACTGCGTTGTGCCGTTGTCGCCATTCAGTCTCATTTTCGTGCCTCCAAAGTCCGTGCGTATGTGCAGAAGGTTCGTACTGTGATATGTCCCTTTAAGTGAAAACACACTTAAGTAATTCTTTTGTAAAGCTCACTTTCCTGCAACGTAAATTCAATATGTATACTTGATTGTTTACGAGAAAGCGACAGTTGCGATCCAGGTGTTCACTGATGGGGACTTTTAGCAATATGACGAAGAACTTCAAGGCTTCACAAGGACTATATAGTCCCTCTTATGTCTATGATTGTCTGCTGCCTCTCCTTAGATCGTTGAATATCACGTTGTAGCCACCCTGTACGCTTTTCTTCTCTCTTCCTTTAATCTGGTTGACTTCTTCCTTGTTCTTCTTTTGCGCTCGGGTCTCTTTTTTTTAATCGACCGCGCCAAAATCACAGGTCTCAGAATTTTACTGCCTGCTCCAGAACAGCAATCCATTTAGCAGTCCTGAATAACATTTCGAAGTTGCCTACTCTCTGATCTTCACCAGTAACCAAGTACCGCTTCCTTCGGATTATAGATGCTGCTTGAGAAAGACGAAGGTCTCATTTCTTTGGCTAAAATCTATTGACTTTGTTTTACCAGCAAGTTCTGATAAGATAGATGGTAAATGGTCCTTAGGGTATAGTTCTGCCATGAATTCCTTATTTCTATTCCTATCACTGGATACGTGATGCGTTGTTTGCATTTCTCACTTTAGTTACGCTTCGAGAGTTCGGCAGTCATTATACAGAAGTATTGGCGTGGTTACCTAGCCCGACGCGAAGGTATCGAGTTCCGACGTAAGGTTGTGCTGGTTCAATGTTGCGTACGGCGATGGTTGGCGAAAAGACGTCTTCGAGAACTCAAGGTGGGAAAACTATTTCCTCACAAATGCAATGAGCACTATTGCTCCCTTGTAACCCCATGTTTGAACCCTAGTGCTTGTTTACCCTAGAATTTTTCTATAGCGGGAATTAATAGATTATTCTTCCTCTACAGATCGAGTCGCGATCAGTCGTCCATCTGCAGAAGCTGAACACTGGCCTTGAGAACAAAATTATTGATTTGCAGATGAAACTTGCATTGATGGTTAGTCGTGTTTTGGATGAACGCCTATTTATTCATTCCGATCGGGTTGTGCACGAAAATACGTGGAGAGTTGCAGTCCATCTCCTATATTTTGTACAAATGTTTTATGTTCAAAAGTCAGAAAAAGCACGCTCCAGAAACCGTTTTGATTTCAACCGATTCTTTTTTTGTCAGACTGGAAATGTAAAACGATAGCTCAGAAGTGTATAGAGGTGTGCTCACCATCCGAATCTCCGATAGTAGCTAGATTATGTAGCCTAAAAATATCAGAAGTTGCTTTGTTTGGGTATGGCGTTCTCATACATCTCATCTCAAGGAAAGCTGTAACCCCCCCCCCCTTTCACCGTCTGCCGCCATTTGGCGATGTTCGACATCGTAGAGGCTCATGCACTGAATGGCCGCTCCGAGTTTATTTATCGGAGGTTTATTTATCAACTGTATCGAAAGCTTTCGAAAAATCCAAATATATGACGTCTACCAAGACCCAGTATCCAGGGAAGCAGTCCAATCATTGAGTGACTGAAGTAGGGCGGTAGTGGTGGACTTCCCTCTCTGAAAGCCATGTTGCATTGGAGAAAAGATTGAGTGTTCACTAATATGTGCTTCAATCCTTCTTCAAAAGCTTTTCAAAGAGACGAGCGAAAATGGAGGTAATGCCGATAGGCCGATAGTTATCAGGGCAAGTCGTAAGGGTGCCTTTTTGGGGATGGGAACTACATACGCCATACGCCATCTAGAAGGAACCTCTGCCGTCATGAAGCTCAGGTTGAAGATATACTGGAGCGGTCCAGTTGAGAGCTGATCACAGGCTGCTTCAATTCGTTCCTGTTCGTCGTGGCCTTATAATGCCGACATGGGCACGTTTCTGGGACACACTTGTTGTCACTTCACCACGGCCATCTGGCTAGAACGCCAGAAAAAGAGGAGCCCGCCTCAAAAAGGAGTATAGCATTTGATAGTGCATTTTATTTTTCACCCAACAGTGGAATTCAAATGTTGTTCGAACCAATTGTTTGTGCACTTCTATTTTTTTCTTTCCTTATTTTACTGCCCGTGTCATTTGCTTATGCTGTATTTGCAGACGTCTGAGCGCAATCGGCTTGCGTCATCTGAAGAAAGATTGCGTTCAGAAATAGCAGCACTTGAGGTAGAAAGGTAAGATGATTCGATTTTGTCAAGGATTGAGCAAATTGATTGTTCTGATGCTCGTCTACAGATCTGAATGGAGGCTCTCTGCAACTCAAAAGGAAGAGGAATTAGCCTTAGAAGTGGAACGGCTCGAGACCGAATGTGATGTCAAAGAGGCGCAAAAGGGAGAGCTGGAAACTAAGATACATGAGTTGACATCTCGGCTAGATCAGGTTTACCTTCAACTTCTGTCATCTAGCTGCATGGTGAAGATTTCTATGTTTAGAACAAAGTTGAGACGGCGTTGAAGATCTCAGAATTAATGGATGAATTGAAAACGACATCCATAAACGCAACTACTGCCGAGGATGATCTTAAGAAAACGCGAACTGCTCTAGCAGCAGGTCTTCAGATTGTTAAGGTTCCATTGAGATGATCATTAGCTTATAAGCACTTCTTACTTAGAAAGCGAACGTCGTGCTGGAATGGAACATGAATTGAGTATGATGCGCGATCAGTTGCTCCAAAACGCGAATCTTCTCGCTTCTTCCCATCTCAGTAGGAGTGGCAGTATGAGGAGCGATAAAGGTTCTCATCATTTAATCTGTATGAACTATGCATTTGACTGGATATTGGTCAATCTCATGAGATTCAGAACGACAGCCTTTCTCTCTAATGGGACCGGACGGAAATTCTGTTTCTCTGGGTGGCGGCTCTAGCGATATGGATGAAATCGCCCTCATACTTGGTCAACAGCAAATGATAAATGGTCTACGCATGAGGTATATGGAAAACTGTTCTTCATGAGGGATTTTCTACTCCCTTGTGCTAATCCCATGCCGTTACGAAGTTTTCATTACAGACTTTTTTCCTATCCATGACGTTTCACCTGTGTGCCTTGCTTCACTGAGGACCTTCTTAGTGGCACCCCTCCAAGTTTCCCATGGGTTTCCTTGGTTGCTTTCCCAAACTTCAAAACCCACGCTTTTCTTATACAGTGTTTTTCGAGAACCTGAATTTCCCATATAAGACTAGAATTTCGAATTGTTTCCATCAGAGTGAATGATATTATGAGTTTTTCAGAGCTGAGCAACACCAGAGAGAAAACGAACGTTTGCGAAATTTAATTGAAGCTAGTTCGCTGGTGGACGCAATTGAAAAGAGATCTTCCTTGCGTTCTTTTGAATCTCACAAACTTCAGGTAATTTCCGTTGTTCCTACTGTAGCCTTTGTATTGTACTGGTAAATGGCTTTAGAAGTGTGGATTTCAATATCCAATTTTTTGACTGGCGCCATGGGCACTAATTTTAAGTGTTCTAACTGCATTCTATCAAATGGTTCAAACCATTGTTGTAGGAGACTGAAACAGCATATTCGCGACTGAAACTCGAGCTTGAACGCTTGGTTGAGGAAAAGGCTGATGGTGGGCTAGAGAACATGAACGTTAAGCTTCTACTCGATCGCATTATGGAAGACAATGACAGGTTGCTACATTTTTCCGCAGCCTCCATGAGAGGGCAGGACATAAATTTTGTTTCTCAGACTTCGTGAAGAATCAGCGGAATTGCGAGCTATGCTTTCGACACGATTTGAGAGACAATCGGCGGTAGCAGGCGGTTCCCCTCGACCGGACTCCGGCCATTGGTCGGCTGGACATTCGGATGATGGCAGTTCGGATCTCGACGAAGATTTATGCAAGGAGAGGCAATGTCGTCAGTTGAAAGCCCTCGCAGAGTTAGTTGTTGTGTTACTTGCCAAGGCAGGCAGTTGCTGAATACCTTAGCATTACAGGAATTTGAATCGTGTGGTTATCGATCGGAACCGAGAAATCGAAAAGCTGGAGAAGCGACTCTTGGAAACAACTCCTACATTCGTAAGTCCTTCTTCGAATTATTCCATGCTCACTGCAGACCGTAGTTGGTGGAGCTCACCACTCACACCAACCCCTTCCAAATGTGGTTCACGTTCACTTGCCGACCGTCTCGAAGACATCTGCAAGGCTGCACTTTACACGGCACCTTCTGCGATCGCCGTATATCTTGCTTACAAGAAGGGATAGGGTCCCTATTTTGTGTGATCTCTGATGTTCTGTGCATGCAATTATCAATTGATTGATAATTGTGATTCATCATCTTATCATCTCACTTTTATGGAGAAGGTGGTGATGAATCATGGACTACCTGTTCTCTTAACACTTTGCACCTGCATGATTTAATTCACTAAAGCCCGCATTTCTATTCAGTTCATTGTTGGGTATCCTACCGTGTGCTATTGTAATTATGTTGTGATATTCGCTTATGTTTCGGTTATTCTTCGCATAGTTTAGTCAAGTTTACATATGTTTTTTTAGTTTCTCTGGCTAAGGTTAGTCGTATACTGCACCATCATATCTATGCTTAATATCAGTCATGAACAGAGTCAAGCATCACCATCAGCGAAATTGCCCGTCGACCCCCCCCCCCTCCCGTAGAAAAGGGTGTTCATACTACCCCCACCGCTCGCGACCACTTCGCTAAACTCGACCTGGAACGACGTGGTTTTGAATGCGGTTTTGTTTCAGCTGCGTCGCATTCTAGCGTTGGAGCGAACTATCCCACACTACACACCACTATTGTACCATGGAAATTTTCTTGGAGGGTTGTAATTTCCTTCAAAGTAATATTCTGCAAAAAGATGGACGGGATTCGTGAGCTTCATGATCACTCGGGAGCTTCCAGCAGATAGATACAAGTGGTCACGAAGGAAGGGTAGGGCTTCGTCCGCGTGAGTTTTCAACCTTCCATGGACCATAACTTGGGTAGCGCAGGAACCAGGATAAAATAAAAGCCAATAGAGTAAAGAAATATTTCTAAAGAATCTTTCTAAAGAACTCAAAATCTTAGGAAAAGTCCGCTGTTCACGGAAAAGCGCCGTTGAGGATTTTTCTCGCTTTAATGGTGAAAATTGCTCGAGAGCGCGAGTTTTGAACATTCTGGGACATAACTTGGATAGTGCAGGACCAAAAAGCAGAGCAAAAACCGCTGCTTAAGAAAAAACGCTTTTTTTCTCTCAAAAAAAGGTTTTTTCTCTCTAGAGACATTGAAAGCTTTTGAAAGAACCTATGACTTGAAAAACCGGTGATAAGGAAACTACCTTTTGCGCCCAGGCTGCCACTCTTTAAGAGGCCATAACTTCGTCCACAAATAACTTCTGGAGTAGTTCTAGGTAACATTGGAAGCTGTTAGATAAGGGCTTCTGAGGTTGCATTGAAATTCTTCTACAGATCAGTTTTCTAAGGCAGCGTTCAGACTTCGCGACGGCAGCGCTTCGGCCGCGCGTTCGACGCGATCGATGCGCACATTTTCGACTGCATCGATCGCGTCGAACGCGCGACCGAGCGCTGCCGTTGCGAAGTCAGAACGCTGCCTAACGGGGAAAGGTGCTGCAAATTGAAGATTAAAGTTTTAAGCTGTAGGAGTATTTCTATTTTATTTCACACGAATCCTTCTAGAACCTATAGATCGATTACAAGACATCTTTTCTATCTGCAGTTAATGTCAATTGATGGGCATGGGGTTCGATAGACGCAGCCAAGGGGTGCTCTACGTAGGCGACCTCTTTTACTTTCCTGATAATACTCAGAGTCATGCTGGTCCATGAAACAGCTTCTGAGTCTTGTGACACACTCCCTATGGTTAGGAGGGCATAAGCACTTTTGCTGTAGGATATATTTTTTATAGCCACTGCTGCAGTCCTGCTGTTCAAACCTTATACTGCACACTTTTTGTCACAGTTCTGTTGACTTCTGATTTTTCCAAAAATGAACCCTCCCCCTTCCGGCGAGCCAGATACCATCAACTCGGTGAGGATTCCTCAACGGATGCTTGACCCTGGTCATGAAAGCATTCCTCTATCACAGGAATGATTTCCATGTGAGTTTAGTTGATGCTCTTCATCGTAGCGGGTGCACTAACACAGTTGATTGCCATGACAGCAAATTCATGCAGGTTGTTCAAACCCTTGTGCATCTTTTCCAGCTCTTTAGTTAATCTCCTATTTTGAATGAGTTAGGCGTGACGAGTGTTGCTTTTACGGCCTGCTTCGAATTCCAATAAACCTTTCACTAAGGTTTTGTGCTACAAGAGGATCAAGTTGCACTGTGCGGCGAAGTAGACGCTTCAGCATCGCGGAATGGCTGCCCTATTGCTTTCTTACTTTCGCCAGCTCCACCACACTGCCCTCACGATTCGGTCTCAGTGGTCGACAGCCAGATTTTGTTTTTGTCCTTACCTATCCTCACCACCTCACCTGTCTTATGTTGCATGCCGAAAGACAAAAACCCATCTTAACGACTGCAGTAGCAGTAGTAACTGGGACTGCATTCACGCTTTCTCTATGGCGATGGTCTGAGTCAGAACATTCATCCACATTTTTTTGGAATTTTATTGACACCACTCATTGTTAGTTGTCCTTACGTCGCCGCTATCCTTCGTACTCATGTTTTCCCTTTTGTTTTTCCCTCCCATCCCTTCTCCCACTAAAACCGTGATTCATATGGACAGTTTTGATGTGAGGTGAGAACTGGTACGATCCGAAGAACCGGTGTACGTACAGTCTTGCTTTGCCCTTTGTGCAGAGCGCAAGGAGAGGAAATTGTGTTTTTCTTCCATTAGTCATAGTCAGTGGGAAAGGTCAAAAACTGGTCATGGAACAGATGGGAATAATATAGGAACTTATGTGTTGTGGTGAATGGTTGCTTAAGAAATTCTTCAGCAACCTTTAAAAATAGTCCTGTTCACCGCGGTTGAAGGGGGGGGGGCATGTCCAGCGGGATGGGTTTGGCGCGGCGCCAAATGCGTTCACTACCAGATCTTAAAGCGGGCAAGTAACAACAATTGGTGGAAAACGACTGATACACACCATATGAGCTTGCCGATTGCTCGCTTCAACAATTGGTTGGAAACGGGTTGGGCGCCGCGCCAAGCCCAACCGACCTGACACGCCCCCTCATCCGCAGCGATCAGACTGTGCCCAGGACAGACATGCACGGTATCACAGCGGCCCTTGATAAGTCGAGTGATCAAAAAAAACACGATCACTTGCGATTTTGTCGAAACGGTGTGAGGGCTTGTGTCTTCCGCCAACAGTGACAGTCTTAACGTATGTGTAAACGATTACCCATCTCTGGAAAACTCGCAGAAGGTCAGGCTGACGCAGATACTGTAGGTCTTCTGCAGCTCGGTGACTGATGACTTCATTTTTTCGCAACGGCTCGTTCGGTCATGAGAAGGAAG